TCTAATGTGTAAGCACTGGATGAACAGCTCTTCCAGTGCTGAAATTGTTCCTAAAAAGGAAAAAAAAAAAAAAAAAGAAGGAAGAAAAGAAAACCATGAAGTAACGCATACAGTATATTCGTTAATTTCCATTAGATTTTATTTCATCAGTTATAATCACAGCTCTTTGAAGAAATACTCACAGTATAATAGATATCATTTCCTGAATGCCTATTTGCACCAGGCTCCGTGTTAAGGGCTTTACAGTTATTGTCTCATCTATTTCATGCAACAGCCCTGATAGGCAGGTATTATAGATAGATATTGTACCCATTTTACAGTTAAGGAGGCTGAGGTTTGAAGAAGTTAAATGACTTTCCCAAGTTACTTAGGTATAACTGGTGGACTCAGGGTTCAAATCTAGTTCTCTCTGACTCCAAATCTTTTGTTCCTTCCCACTTTTTCGTGGCCCCTTAGTGCACTGAGAAAAATTCAGAGGATGGTTAAAATATTGAAAGACGTAGAAGTCTGACGCTATAAAGGAAAGGTCCAAGAAAGGGTGTGTTTACCTGGTTCTCACATCAAACACCAAACTATATTCCAGCACAACAAAGATTAAATGGCTAAAAATTAAACCAGGGTTGTACTAGAAGAAAGCATGGGTAATTTCTTTAGTATGTATCAGAGAAGGGAATATATAATACAAAACTCAAAAGCTAAAAAGAAAAAAGAAATGTGACTATATAAAACATTTTAAACTTCTGTATGGCAAGAAATAACATACAAAGGAAAAGTTTAAATACTTTAAATACAATAATAAAAAATACAAATACCAAACTAATAAGAATATTTGCAATAGTTATCTGAGGTGAAGAACCAATATTCTTAATATGCAGATAAATTTTTAAAAGAGCAAACTACCCAAACCAAAAAAAAAAAAGGCAAAATAAGTGAACAGGAGTTTTATATAAAAACAAATTTAAATATCCAACAAGCATATAAAAAGCTGTTTAACCTCATAATTGAAGAAATGCAAAATTTAAAAATATAATTGTCTACCTATCAGAACGGCCAAGGTCAAATATTAGGGTATGAGCAATTTTTACAAGAGTGTGAGGAAGTAGCCTATCATATTATTTGTGGGAGTATAAATTAATGCTACATTTTTGGAAGCAACTTGGCAATAGCTACCAAAATTTAACACTCATACCCTTTATCCAACAACTTACTGTTAGATGATATTTATTATAAAATTGTTTGTAATAGCAAAATACCAACATAAGCTAAGCGCCCATCAACTGTGCCCTGGTAAAATAGCTTTACATTGACTAATAGAACCTTCCATGGCTATTAAAAAGAATAAGATAATGTATAAGAATATGTGAATGAAGAATGCTCTCGGGATTAAGAGAAAGAAACTACTATGTATAAAATAGATAAGCAGCAAGGATATATTGTACAGCACAGGCAAATATAGCCATTATTTTGTAATAACTTTAAATGGAGTATGATCTATGAAAATATTGAATCTCTGTGCAGTACACTGAAACTAATATTGTAAATCAACTATACTTCAATAAAAAAAGAATGCGCTCTAAGATGTGTTAGTAAATGAAAGAAAATCAAAGTATAAAGCGATATTTAAAATATCTTCCTATGTAAAATTTTTAAATTATTTATAATTTTATAAACCTGCTTATATTCATAACAGAAATAATTGGTAGTATATACAAGAAGCCATTAACACGGTTACCTTTGGAGAGAATAATTAGAGGTGGGGAAGCCTTTTATTTTTATACCTTTTTGTATGGCTTTAATTTTCACATACGTGCATTATGTACATTCAGTTGTCCCTCAGTTGTCCCCAGGGACAACACACACACACACACACACACACACACACACACACACACACACACAGATACCAAAATCCACAGATACTCATGTCCCTTATATAAAATGGTGTAGTATTTGCAAATAATCTATTCATATCCTTCCATATACTTTAAATCATCTCTAGATTACTTATAATACTTAATACATTGTAAATGCTATGTAAATAGTTGCCAGGTATGTAGCAAATTCAAGTTGTGCTTTTTGGAACTTCCTGGAAAGTTTTTTGAATATTTTCAATCCGAGGTTGGCTGAATTTGCCAGTACAGAACCTGCAGATATAAAGGGCTGACTGTATATTAATTATATTTTTTATATCAATACGTTATCTGGGCAATGAGATTATGGCCTGTTTTTGTTCTCTTCATTAATAGTTTCTGTTTGTTCAGGAAATAAATATTTTTTAAATGTACAATAGCAAACTAAAAGAAACATAATGCAGGGGCTTCCCTGGTGGCGCAGTGGTTGAGAGTCCGCCTGCCAATGCACGGGACACAGGTTCATGCCCCGGTCCGGGAAGATCCCACATGCCGCGGAGCGGCTGGGCCCGTGAGCCATGGCTGCTGAGCCTATGCGTCCGGAGCCTGTGCTCCGCAACGGGAGAGGTCACAACAGTGAGAGGCCCGCGTACCACAAAAAAAAAAAAAAGAAAAAATAAACATAATGCTTATACTTTTTAACTTAAGAAGTGTATGTCCAGGGAACTTATCCTTCAGAAACACCTTCATAAGAATTTTTTTTTTTAATAAATGTATTTATTTTTGGCTGCGTTGGGTCTTTGCTGCTGTGCACGGGCTTTCTCTAGTTGCGGCGAGCGGGGGTTACTCTTTGTTGGGGTGCGCAGGCTTCTCATCGTGGTGGCTTCTCTTGTTGCGGAACACGGCGGGCTCTAGGCGCGCGGGCTTCAGTAGTTGCAGCATGCAGCCTCAGTAGTTGTGGCACACAGGCTTAGTTGCTCCGTGGTATGTGGTATCTTCCTGGACCAGGGCTCGAACCCGTGTCCCCTGCATTGGCAGGTGGATTCTTAACCACTGCGCCACCAGGGAAGTCCCCACAAATATTTTTAATAATAAGAAGCTAGACACAGCCTCGACCTCATCAGAAGGGATCCTACAGAAAAAGTACTGGTACATCCATACCATGGGATACTAGGCTCCTGTTAAACGTTTTAATGATATGAGCTGAATTGGATGATGACCACAATAGATTGTTAAATGAAAAGCTAAACAAAAACAAGTTATACAACTATATATATGATATGATATTATCTGTTTAAAGAAAAAGTCAATAATATATTAAAATATAAAATAGAAAGAAACAAATCACGATAAAGCGACCTGCTTGCACCTGCATATAGCAGATTTCTAAAAAGCATACACTAGAAACTGCTAATGGTGGTTACTTCTGGGAGTGAAGATGGTGAGGGGACTTTTTACTTTTCTTTTTACACCTTTCTGAAACATAAGAATTAATTACCATGATCACATATTATTTTTTAATAAAAAGTTAAGTCTAATTGTTTGACAAAAGAAGAGGTCTTTCGGCCCATGACGTTTGTGCATTCAGCTTCCTGTAGGCAGAAACCTAGATCAAATTACTTTTCCTGTCTCTTCTAGCTCTCTGAGTCATACTTCTGACTCATCGACACCTAGACAGTCTCTGAAATGACTGTCATTTAATAAGGATTAAATCTGGGATTTTATAGTTCAAAGAGGTTTTAGACTCAAAGAGCCTAACAGTCCCTTCTAACTGAGGCAGGAGAGAACTGAGGCTCAGAGAGGTGATATGACCGTCACTCAACTAGTAAGGAGTGGCCCAGCCAGACCCAGGTTCACTCAGTGGACTTCCCAGTGTTACCGTGTAATCAAAGGTCTCAGTAAACATAGAAAGCCAATCAATGCTTTCACCAGAATAGAAAGCCGTGAAATTAGTAAAAGTGAATAAGGAGACTTTAACAAAGTTATTATGAGAGGACCAGCTTGTGGGATTAAAGATTACAGATGTTCCAGGCCTGACAGGGAAAACTCAGTGGCAACCCCCATCCACCATTCAATATCGTTGTCAAAGAAGACTGATGAGAAGCGAAATAAGATTCTATATATTATGTGTAGATAAGCTGATCAGTTCTTTTATTCTTTTTCATGTTCCATAGCCATCTTCCCTGGAAGTGAAAGGAAACAGAATTCAGATATCAGCTGTGTCGTTTGGAAAACTGGACTCTGTGTTCAGTTGAAACTGAAACAAAGCTTCTTAGAGGCTTGTCTTGTTCACCTTTGTTCCCCATCCACCATCCCTCTCCTGGGCACGCACAGAGCCCTGTCATTGGAAAGCACTTAGTAATTACATTGTGTTGGTTTAGACGGAATTGATTTGAGAAAGATTTTAGCTTTTGCGTCTCATTAAATTTGACTTCAGGGTGATTTTTCCCTCTTGGCAGAGTTTTGTGCTTATTTTTTAGATGCTCTGTTTCTCTTTTGGCAAGGACCCCAAAATGGGAGTTAGCAAGAGCAACATAAACTCCTGGCATTCTCTATTTCATTTTGTCACAATTCATTCTGAAATTGTACATAAGAAATGAGGCAGTCAAATTAATTTTGGTAACAAGGCTCAGGGCTGTCTAACCAAGCTCAGGGTGACAGGACCAGGCATATGACCAAAGAGAGGGATTTGGCGGGCAGCCAGCCCCATTCCATACAGTCTCCCCAGAATCTCATATGAATATATTATTCTGTCAGCACATACTTGTCTACATACATTACATGTGTCTTTCTTTATTATCCTGTTTTCCTTCTAATTTTGAAGGCTCCTATCTAACCCAGAAATCTAGGAAACTCATAGAAGCATATTAAATGCACACACACTAAAATCTTACTGGACATGGGTAGACAAAACTTTCAACCCATTCAGACCATGGCACAAACGTCCGAGGTGAAATTTCATCTTTCTGCTAACTAAAGTTATCAAGAGCATGAAATCTGATAGGTTAACACTCCAATGCCTGGGTAGGACATGAAGGGTTTTGAGGCAGGTAACATAATCTTAGCCTTTCAGTTTTGGGAAACTTTTTCCCTCTATCAGAATAATATGCCTTATGAAATACCAAAATTCTCCGGCTTCCTCTCTTTCAGGTGAATGGCATTGACCTTCGAGGAGCATCCCATGAACAGGCTGCTGCAGCGCTAAAGGGGGCTGGACAGACGGTGACGATTATAGCACAATACCAACCTGAAGGTCAGTGAGAACTCAAACTTACAATGTTCTGATGTGTTTCTGTGTGAATGGGTGCCTGTATTTCTGATCACCGGTATTAACCAGTCACCACCAACAAGATTTTTTAAAACAATCTATGGTGAAAAATTTGTGGTTTATGTCCAAAGAACACGAGACTTTGTTACCCTTAATTCCAAGGAAAACATCCAATAGTTAGAAAGGCCTGTTTGAAAATATGAATTTAAACAAATAACAAGTAGCATCAGCTTTATTTCATTTATATTCTTGTCTGGTATACACTTTTGGTCAGCAATGGATACTATAAAAGCAATTAAGATTTAGGAAGCAAGGGGGAGAGATCTCATCTACAGAAATAGACCATGATCAGTAGACCATAGTCTCTCCTTATGGCATTGACTTACTCTTATTAACACTAAAGTGGTTTTTGGATGTCCTTGACGTGGAATTTTTATTTTATTTTATTTTATTTTATTTTACTTTATTTTATTTTATTTTTGCCTCTTCTGCCACACTATCCCTTGTTTGGAATACATCACTGTAAACCCTGAGACTTGGTGAGATGTCATAAGTTGAATTAGCCAATTGAGATTTGATGAGATATTCTAAATTAGATTAGCCAAACCTGCGTTTTGATTGGTTTCAACATCTGTTTCTGTGATCAGAATGAGGATCAGTGAGACAACTGGGCTGTTACCTACTGTGGAATTGAGTTCTTAGCAAATTTATATATATAAATTGCTCTTTTGTTAAAGAAAGGTAGTCATGTATATCACTGTGGACTAGACTTTACAAAAAAATAAAGAGGAATATGGTTCTGTCTTCAAGAAATGTAGTTAATTGTTTTTGGTCTACATGGCTAGCAGAGGGGAGAATTTAACAGATGAATATGAAAGTACAAGGGACCTTCAAGGAAGAGCCTTTGTGCATCCACATGCATAAAGAGCTTCTTTGGCCTTTTCAAATGATTCTTTCTTAGCAACATTTGGTCTATTGATGTTTGGAAAATTGAGGTTTGTGTCTTTCCCGTGACATCTTAGGTTTTACCATTAACGGTGGCCAACCACATGTTTTACAAGAGAATAAAGAAAACATTCTGCCCTTATGTGTTTTGGTATGTCACTTTCACTTTGCCTGACTTTAGAATTAGAATTTGCAATTAAGTTACACCAAAAAAAAAAGTATTAATTGCTTTCTTCTATTGACCTAGCCCAGATATGGCCAGAGAGCCATCTGGGAAGAGGGGATTTGTGTTTGTCAAAGATGGACGATGACAGCACCAAGGAACCATGCTCTTCCCAGACAGTTTTGACAAGTCTTTCTACTTCTTAAAAATTAGTAGATATGTCTTCTAATAGGAATAAACAGCTCCAAAGTCCCCATTGTAAAACAGAAAATGAAAAAGATCTGGGTTAACACCATTTGATGAACAAATTCTACTTCATATAGAGTAAGAACTTGTTCATGGGATTCTTCCATTTTATTAATAGCTGTTATCTTTGGGTCTCAAACTCTATGCCCTACACCATAATCTGATGCAAGGCATAAATATCGTTGACTGTTTTCCCATTTCTGAAAACTTTCATCTCAAACAATTCTGGAGACTGATAAGATGGTCAGAACCATAGTTACACCAATTAGAAGCTCTTGATAGTGAAGACAGTCATTCAAATAACCTTGAACAGAATGATTACAAGCTTTAAAAGTTACAATAAAGGACAAGCATGTCCTAGTTCTATCAGCATAAATCTTCATCTTAAGCTTCCTTACAGCTTTGTTTCCTTTAAGCAATATACTCACTTTGGATACTATGCTGTACTTTATCAAGATGTCTGTTCAAAGCATGTCTTATAAATCAAATAAATTGATGTTTAAAGCGCTTCTAAAGATACCTGCAAATAACAACAACAAGCTTAGTATTTCAAAATGCCAAAGTACAAATCAGACTCATGGAATGACTTCCCCATTTTAATAGCCTAACTGCATTCTAATTTGTCATGGCTTTAAATCAGTTGGAAATGTGGTAATACGACATCAAGCAATCATTCTTCTCCCTTTGCAAAGGGAGAAGAATTTAACTATTCTTAATTTAACTTAATTTAGCTTAATATAGCTTAATTTAACTATTGTTTGAAATGGAAAACTGATTGGATTGTTGTTTAGGTCATTTAGGGACATGTAAATTATATGACATATTTAAGAAATAATGATCAATTTGCCTTTAAAATAACAAGTTAAAAGAAGAGTATACCATAAGATTCCATTAGGAAATTCTCACCAAGTCCCCTTAATTTGCACCAGTATTGTGAGGTATCCATGCTAAGACAAATTTTATTGTCATCTCTTGTAACATGGTCAAGAACCAGGCTTTCTGCAAAAATGTTTTTCACTTACGTTCAAATACTTTTATCAGGAATATTCTAGATGCCTTGCTCAATATTACTAGATATTCAGAAAATTCCACTTTTACCCTATCCCAGGTCTTTGTCTTTAAGGAATTTTTTATCTCCTTCAGGAAAAGAGACTTAGATACATTTAATAGAGATCAGTTCCTGATGACATATAACCAAAATTGTATGATAATGGCACCATCTCTAAGAATTATGGAATGTCAGAGAAGGAATAAACCTGCAGGAGGCAGAACAGTACAAGAGTACTTCATGGAAATGGGAAAATGCAACCAGACTTTGAAAAATGGGTGAGAATTCTATTCCAGAGAGCAGGGAGAAGGAATATCTTGATAAGCTACGTAAGATCGTGAGTTCCAAGCGTGCAGACACCAAAACCTATGTTTTGTTCACTGATAAATTTATCTTCAGTGTTGTACATATAACTGGTATTTCTTAAAAAGTTGTTGAACTAATGAAGAAAAGTTTACCATTCTTCAGTACTTGATTTTCCACTTGACAGTAATTGAAGGCTGAAGGGATTCATTTTTACTACTTGCACTTTTTCATTTTTGCTTCAAAGCAGAAAATAAGTGGTAAATAAGTGTATATTGCAAAATACAAAACTGTTTCCAACTGTATTTTTCATAGTACTTAGCACATTTTTTGAAATAATGATAAATAATTTATAATTATCATAATATAACAATAAGTGTCTTCCTTGGCAAGTTTCACTGCACAGGGTAAGGCCAAAGTTGTTATACTCACTTCTGCCTAAAATGAACTTGGCCCCAGTTGTCTGAATTACTCTATCCATCATCAGTCTTATTCAATGCCTAGTGCTAGGTGGCAGAATTGAAGCCAAATTTAGAGTCACATACAAACAAATGTTTCTTTCTCCTGGTGTGATTGTGATTCATTTTTACCATCATTCTTTATCCAATGTGCGTCACATGCTTACTTTGAACTTAACATGTATTACATTAATAATAGAAAGAAAATAATAATGTTATTTTCTTTCTTTTTTTAAAAAAGGATCATGTACCTGATACTACAGAATAAATTCTACTTAAGCAATATGAGAAATTAATTCTTGTAAAAATTTCAATTACCTATATTCAATTAGTGAAATTACTCCAACATTACTTGGAAAAAAGGAAACATAATGCCCACCCACCTCCGCTATACACACACACATATATATACCCATTTCCTTACCCCGCCCAGTCATCTTCCTCATTGCTTTCAGAATTACCATTCTAGAAGATATCACCCCAAGATGCCTGTACACAAACTCCTTGCTTTTCACAGTATGGTCCCAGCCAACCTTCATGCCCCCTCCTGCAACCACCACCCACCAGCATCATCCTTTTTCACTGTGGCTCTGCTTCACAGGACTGCTCCCTGCCCCTGCCCTTCGTCCTGAACTGCCATGTTTCTGGGCCTTTGCTTATGTGGGTTCCTCTGCCTGGAATTCCCTTCTCTCCCTTTCCACCAGTGGTATTCCTGCTCATCTTGAAGGCCCTCAGATGCCAATTCCACTACAAAGTCATCTTTAATCTGCTGAATCAATGTTGATTGATTCTTTCTCTGAGCTCCCTAGATCTATATTCAGACACTTGGTGTGTCCCTTGTCGTGATTTGCACATTCCTCCACTTAAGTAAGCTTCTAGAGGGCAAGGACCCTTCTACCACTCATTTTATCTCCCATGTTAATGTGCTCAATATGAATTTGATTATGCTTTACTAAAGAGTTATCAAATGTGTCTCACCTTGTTTTAGAAGTGCAATATAATATCTTTAGTGTGTTGGCAAATATTAATAGTAGATGTTTAAGAAATATTTGCTGAGTGAATATTAAATGAGTGCCCTGGCGTTTTGATATTAGACGCAGAAATGGTAAATGAATCCCTATATTGGACATTTGGTGTTGATGCTCTTTTTAGGTGGTGCCTTTTTTGCTGTTGTTGTTACAAAACCTTTAGCAACCCTAAAGGTAAACTCCCTTTCTCCTGCATTGCAGAAAATCTACAGCTCTTGCTCTGTAATATAGAACAAAGAAAAGACTATTAAAGGTCTCACATTTCATTTTTTAAATCTCTGTAACTCAACTTTAACATCATTGATGAATAAAAAGGCATTGATTACAACCTAATTATACATTTGTCAAAAAGAGTCTAACACAGCATTCCCCTGGGTCAGATTGGGGCAAATCTTTACAGCATTTGTTGCCTTCTCACTAATACAATAGCACCTATATTTAGTGTGAGGTTACTGCCTGAGGTTGAAATAACAAACCGTCAGATATTCACTAGGAGAATCAAGTGAACAGTATAAGTTGTTGGATAGAGCACAAAATGGAGACAATCAATTGCCAAGCTGTCCCCATGAAAGCCACCAATATCCCCTGGCCTTTAATCTGGCTACTCAGGGCACTGCTGGGGACATTGCAAGGGCTTCAGAAGGGCCTGCAAGTAGGAAGGAGAAAGTCGCTGTTGGTCCCCATCAGCAAGCAGGGACTTGAGTAGACCGTGGAGGGGCCTGATTTCCTCCACCTTTTATTCTTTCAAAGAATACTTGAGTTCCTAAAGGAAAATCCCAAAGGACAGAGTTGAT